ATATATATATATATATAATTTGCTATAGTCGATAATTACTTTGCCCTCTTTCAGACAACACTGGAAACTCTTATTAAGCTCTCTCAATTAGTTGATGAAAATTCAAGCGATTGGTGACTTTTTTGATCCAACCATTGTTCAGATATATTTAGTCTCTCTCCATCATTAAGAAGCAGTTGATTTTTTGCAATATATTGTTGTTTTTTTTGGAAGCCTTCATGTTACTGCGTAAGCGATTGTTAGTTACGGTTATTCATAGTCTTTATTATCTTTTTGTTTTGTTAAATAGTTAGTGAAGCTAGATCTTATCTATCCTTTTGTATAAAATAATTCTAAGATGTGCTTGAAGTTTGAGGTGATAATATGATAAAAATAATTTTTTTGTGCTGTTTCTGTACAAAATACTACGTTTTACTTGTGTATTATTTTATCCGGAAAGTGTCATGAATAAAAGAGCCACACAAATTTTAAAAATAAACATTAAACAGTATATGCATGTCTTAGGATGTCATATTTACTGAGGTTTCTAGTTAATGGTTGTCAGCTTTATCAAAATTGCCTGTTAGTTGCTAAAGGTGCGAAATTTTTAAATTTAATTACCATAAATGACTAAAGACTTGAGGTGCTGAAATTTAAATCCGACAAACGTAGAAACAATTGCTCCATTGCCATAGAATTTTAATTTTTGTGTATTTATAAACTGGCATATTAGCTGGTCATTTATTTCCATAATATTCAGATTGTGGTCTGGGTTAAATGTAATTAGATTTTTACATCATTACTATTACCGGAATAATAGTAATTTTGTGTTTCCGTTGGTGTTTTCTGGCAAAACCAAATTTGGGAAATTACTGGGAATTATATCAAGTTTTAAACTTTTGTACAGCTTTTTAATAGATAAAAAATTATTTTTGAAAAAGTTCCGGAATTTTTTTACTTTATGTAGTGTCTAGTTCTCAAGTTTTCTTATTATCACATTACTGATAAAATTATTGCTATCACCATTACTACAATTATGATAAAAACTTCATTTTGAATTTGCACTAGAAACTCTTTTTTTTCAGTAAGGTGTTAAAGTCATATGATAACGCTCTTTCAGTTCATATGACAGCAATCATCTATATATATATATATATATATAGGTGATAAGAATTATTTCATATATGTCCTTTTGCTTGTTAACCTATCCCTTATCAGTCTGATAATAATTTTTTCGTAATTCATCTGCTAAATAGCAATCCTTTTGGTACTATAATATTACGAAAATCGGTAACATGCAGGGAGTAAAACAACACTCAATAACGCCAACACGCAATTTTTATCGTCGAAAGTTACCACCAATTTGTATCGACTTCACTTCTACAGAGGGTAAAAGACTTTTCACGGAAAGTTTACTCAAAGGTAAGTTTTTTACTACTGATGTTTTAAGGCTTTCTTTTGGAAATTATTTGTTTGTATTTTATTTACATTTTTTTATTTGAAAAAGTGACTCAAAATTAGTGTCATTTTAAAACATTTTAATGGCGCTGTTTTGAAAATTTTTATACTTAAGTGAACGAAAAAAAGTTGTTGATTATCAAAGGTATTAACAGAAATTTTTTCTTTTCTACAATCTTATTGAAATGTACTGCAAAGTATTCCTTCTTTAATTGTCGATAAATTAAATTAAATCAAATTAAATTAAATTAAATTAAATTCTTTTTTGCAGATTCTCAAAATTTCATTTTGCTTTCTATATTTGCATGATACTGATCAATTCTCTGATGCTTCCAATTTTCTTAAATTTCATTTTTACTTATTGATTGTTATGTTTTTAATTAGCAATTTATTTAAATATTACTTATGTTTTATTTAATGCTTCATAGCTCGTATCTCAATGATACCAAAGCATGTAAAATGTTTGATATTATTATTTTTATTTCATCTTATTCCCTCTCATTTGGTTGTATTTTCTAATATAATTTGTAAAAAATTTATTTTACAATAGTTTGAAGGTATAAAAATTAGAGTTTGATTCAATATAACACTTATTACAGGATATGCAAATGTGTATTTTCGATTGGCATCTCAATTTTTAACCCAAGATGAACCAGCGTTTTGCGGATTGGCAACATTAGGTAGGCAGTGTAAAGACAGTTCTTCGTCAAACATGCAAATTTGTTGAATGAATGCATAAAAAAATTATTTTGCTATTAATGAGTAAATTTTAATGATCTAATCGTATATACATACAGTAATGGCATTAAATGCTTTGGAAGTGGACCCTGGACGAGTTTGGAAGTCACCATGGCGTTTCTATCATGAGAGTATGCTTGATTGTTGTGTTCCACTTGATGATATTAAAAAAAGTGGAATCACATTACTTCAATTTACATGCCTTGCTGAATGTAACAAGCTTTGCACCACTCTAAAATATGCCGAATCAGGAGAAGGTAAGCATCATTACATATAATTAAATATGCGCACAATACTTTTATATTTAAAATGACTTAAACAGTGATAATAAATGAAAGTATAGATGTAGTCAGGGAAAATTAACATCAAATCGACTGCATTTTCATCAATGGTAGCTCAACCATATCTTGATAATTAACAAATGATAAGAATAAAATATCTTTACAAATAAATTATCGACAAAATCTTGTCATTATTTATCTAGACTATACTCGATTACTTTTTTCTGGAAGATTATTTTTTCTGGAACATGGAAGTAATGTGCTGAAAATGTAGTGCAGACTTTTTGCATGATTTACGTGGAACCGTGAAGCGCTGTATGGCTGCAGACGATATCATTCTTGTGGTTAGCTATAATCGTCAAGTACTTGGTCAAACAGGTGCAGGTACAAAATTTTTTTCTACCTTCTAAATTAAAAGATATTTATAGTTGTTGCATTTGACAGCTCAATATATAATTAGAAATATATAAAACAATCAGTCCATTCGTAGGTTAAAAATATGAATCCTCTAATAAAGTAAAATTGCCTATAAAATGACTCTTGATGGTTTACCGCCATTGTTAAGGCCATTTTTCTCCCCTTGGCGCTTATCATGAGGATACTGATCAAGTGCTCATTATGGATGTTGCTCGATTTAAATATCCACCTCACTGGGTGCCTTTGACTGTTATACGTGATGCTATGCTTAATATCGACCAGACTACCGGAAAACCACGCGGTTATCATATTTATTTTATTATGTGTTTAATAAGTTCTCGTTCATTCTGATTCTAGATTGAATTTTTCCAGCAGTTTAATGGGGGAAAAAATACCAGAAAAATCCTATGTAAAACTAAAGTGAAGGTTGATATAAAGTTGAATTAAGTTATTTATTTGTTTAAAATTTATTTTTCGAATTCTGCATTTCTTATCTTTGCAGACAGTGTTTGAAATTTTAAAGAATTAGTTGAATATTTTACTTTTTATTTTTTAAGGCAAAGGGAGAAAACATGACAATACCTACTTAATGACAAGTTTTATGTAATGGTTCCAGGTTTTGTAACGATGAAGCTGCGATCCAATACGCAGTCATTAGTATTGTTTCGTTTTCAGACTAATATAGATGTTTCCAAAACACAGGTATCCTTTCAAACCATCTTGTTTGTTTTCCTTATTCTCAGAAAGGGAATGAATCATTATAAATATTAGTTATTACATAATGAAATGACCATGACTTGTCATCTATTATTCTAGACCCACCATTTTAAATCACGTCAATAATTTGATTTACAGTTCGTTTCACGACTAAAACAGTGGGAAAAATTTCTTGCTGAAAAAATTTCAAACAAGAATGAATCAGAATTCAAGGATGTTTGTACAATGTTTTCTTCTATTTTTGCAGGTTGCGTTGCATGCTGTGACTGCTCTGAAGTACATCTTTTTTAATTTAAAAGTTAAAAAATAAATTGTTGTAATAAAAAAAGCTACTCAAAAGCTGCATTGAAGAACGCTACAATTACTACTGTATGCATAAAAATTTATGAAAAATCTCAGTATTTACAATACTTACTATCGTTAAGGTGGCATTTGTAAAAAGACTTGAATTTTTTGTAATTTTCGGATTTACAAAATTACTTCTTACAAAACATCTGCAAGGGTATATCATAGCACCACGTATTGCAGTGCAAAATAGAATTGCTAGTAAATGGCATTATTTGTAGCAGTTCGTGTTGTGAGCTAATTAAATTTCAGAATATAATTGCCAGTGATTAGAAAGCTAAAATCTGCTACAAATGTATAGCTGAAATGAAATAATTGTCATTGCATGCAAACAATGCATACATATTTTATTCGTAAAATTATCAAATTAATAATACTGTTCCAGCCTATTCAAAGTCAATCTTCATGTGAGGAAGAAAAGAAGCCTGGTAGCTTTTGCAGCTTAAACGTAAAAAATGCAGTTAGCTGTGGTGATATTTGTCGTGAAATTTCAAACTTGGAGATTGCATCGTATATTACATCTGCTAGTTTATGCACATTGCTACTTGCTTGGCCTTTACAGGTGATTTACTATCGATAACAATTATTAATTCATATATATA